GGGGTGAGTTAATTGTTTGACCAATATGGCCAGCAAATGATGTTACAAATATCCGAAGGCCCTTGGCAGAAAAAAGGCACCCCACCCTTGCACTGAGGAATAGGTCCCCAAACTATTTTGGCCTCCTGCCCCCTATTCAGAAAACAAAAATTGACTCAGCTCCCCCTGGCAATGAAAAACGTCTGTGCTTTGGCCCATAATCCAGGATAAAGTGTAGGTATCTGCCTTTGGTCGAAGGACTGCCGTTCCTTGTCCTCCTCGGATGCCTGGGATTTTCTAAGCACTGCAGTGCCGTTTTCTTAACCCCCCTCCCCAAAGCCTTGTGGCCAATATTCTTTCATTTCTCCCCACTCTACAGGTGGGGAAACTGAGGCATGAAGAGGGTAAATAACTTGTCCAAGGTCTAGTGACGGTGGAATTTAAAGCCAGGCAGTTGTACTCCGAGGCCCAGCACATAACCCCGCCCCACTCTATTCGACCCACCCAGGAAACAGTTCTCCAGGGGGTGGGCCCTGGCCTAGGATCTGCCCCCCAACCTCAGCCTATACACACCCTTCTCAAATCTGCTGTGCCCCCACTAGACCAGCGGAGTAACCCAGGGTGCTTTTTCCATCACCCCCGGCCCAGATGGCAGGAGGGCAGTGGCAGCAGCTCGCCTTGTCCCAGGGAACTGCCGCCACTGCAACACTAACGGCCGAGAACTGCCCTTGAGACAGCCCAGGCCTTTTGGGAGCCTGACATTGCCCTCCTTAAGTATTTAACGCAGAACAAAACACAAACACACAGACCGCTCACACACGATGCCCATGTGCTTCCTATTAACTAGCCCCCAACACACACGCACACTGTTCCAGAGCAGAAATCAACCCACACACGACTCCGAGCATTTCAGGAGGGAGGATGGTGATGGAGCTTGGGCTTTCAAGGGAAGAAGGGAGAGGAGAGGAACGGGGTGGCCCAGTTTTCGACTTGAAAGCGCATGCTGACTGAAAGCAAAATCAGCCTGTGTTTAGGAGCGCTGATGAAAGAGTCTGTCTTTATCTCCCCGCCCTCTCCCTCCCTTTTCCCTCCCTCCCTCTCTCCCTCTCCCTCTCTTTCTCTGGAAATTAAAAGCCACAGATTTGTAGATGCAAAAAGTGCTTAAGTGTGGTCCAGCCCATTCTTCTGCAGATGGGTAAGCGGAGGCACGACAGCACAGAGACTTGCAGATGGTCATGGAGCCAGTATCTGATGAGCCAGGATGCCCCACTCCCCTCTGCCTTCTTGCTAAGGGTCTGCCCTTCCAGAAACTTCTGCAGAGCCTTCGCCTGCTTGCCTCCCGGGCCAGGATCTGTGTGTGCTGGGCAAGGGTTGACCCTCCAGAGGATGTACAAGCTGCCTAAAAGGCAGTTCACAATGCGCATTCAGCCTCGGCTCCGGCTCCGCTGTCTCGTCTCCTCTGGAAGTTCACGCAGGGGTTTTCATGGCTGAAGTGGGTTTAACATATTCTATTTGTTTGTTTGATTCCTTTCTTGGCATCTCCTGCTGAAACAATGCCGCAGCGATGGCCTGGAGGATAAAAAGGGGAATTAAAACGCAGCTTGAGAATCGGGTGAAGGGCGCTGGGCCTGGGCGGGGGCCAGTCCTGGCTGTGTCCCAGACACAGTGGATGGCCTTGGGCAAGGCCCTTGGTTCCTCTGGGCCTTGGTTTCCCCTCTCGCAAGAGAGACCATCCCGTGAGGCTTTTTGAGGCACTACATCCGTGGTGTGTTAGATAAAG